AGGAATGCAGGACTTCAATTACCTCAGCAGCAACTGCTTTGAAATCACTGTGGAACTGAGCTGTGAGAAATTCCCACCAGAGGAAACTCTGAAGAGATACTGGGAGGACAACAAGAACTCGCTTGTCAATTACATTGAGCAGGTAGGAGAAAGGAAGTTTATAAAACTCTAAGGCTAGGGACAGAAATTACACATAAACCAGTATAAGTGATTTGAAACTGGTCTAAACTTGTAACGGAATAGAGGTTCAGCCCACATAGACCTGTTCCAAAATGACAGAACCTGATTTAATATAGATCTTGATGGATGTAATATCTGATTTAATCAGTTTAGGTTAGAACAGTCTATTGAACTTCTGTGCCAGATCTCCTCCTGACTCATTACCGCACAGTCCCACCTACACACCTACCCCACTAACCTTGCCTTGCAGGGCAGGCAGGCTAGCCTTGGCCTGTGCTCCCGCTCATCTGCCCCTGGGCTGTCACAGAGCCAAAGCAGCAAAATCTCTATTCCCCAGCCCTGTGTCGTGCCTGCATCTGTCAGCCAAGCCGTGCAGTGGGGTAGGGGAGTGAAGGTCCCTCACTCTGCCAGAATTGCTGGGTGGGGGGAGGGGGCACGCTGCAGGGGCTTTCTCTGCTCCCTCTGACTGCCCTGGTGTGACTGCACTCTCTAGCCTCACCCCCTGCTAGCTGTTAGGGGCATTGGTGATGCGCAGGGGGTGCATGCGGGTGCACGTGCACTCCCTGAGATTGGCAGTGCACCCCCTAAGAAAAGCACCATCAATACTGCCTGGCAGTGCCTGTGGGTGGTCATCAATTGCCACCCCCTCCCCCCTGGCTGCCGACAATGCTGGTGGCATATGTGGGTGGTTGCTGACCACTGGTTGGCACTTGCCACCCTCTCCCCCACTGCTGATACCGCTGTGGCCACCTGCAGGAGCTCCCCACTCGGCCCACCCCTACCACTGACACTGCTGTGGCTGCCTGTGGGAGCTTGCCGCTGTCATGCCCTCGTCGCCAACACCACCACCACTGCCTGCGTGCGGTCACTGTGCCCCCCACCCTCTGGGGACATGCATCGTTCATGGTTAGGGGGCAGAGGGGAAGCGGATATGAGGGGGAAAGTGGAGGTCTTCTCTCCTGCCCTAGCCCCCCTGACCCACCCAGAACCACTGAGGAGGGGCACACCTCAGGGGCTTTCTCCACTCCCCCACTGACTACCCTCCCTTTTTGTTTGTCTGTACTTAGCCCTAATGTTTTCTTTTGACAGCTAGGGATAAACAGTGGTAACTGTCTACTGTATTAATCCGATCATATACCATAATTGTGATTAATTTATAATCACCATTTAACCCATAATTTGCTTATGGGTTAAACCCCAGCTGATGCTTTCATACAGATGAAGCAAAGTTGGTCACAAGAGGGAAGACAGTAACTATTGTATCCTAGTTCTGTGGCTAGACGTGCATAAGGGTGCTATGGCTGCCAAAGCTGCTGACATTAACTCTAGACACATCTATTATGATTACAACTTTATTTTAAATTCATAGACTCTGATTACAGGTGAGCCTGAACCACAATCCTGAATCCAGATACCTTAGAGCAGTGGTGCCCAACCTATCTGGCCTTGTGGGTTGGGTGAGTGGTGTTGGGCTCGGTTACAGACTGAATGCCTTGCACGGGGTCAGACTGTGTACAAGATCCAGTGAGGGCTCAGTTTGGCCACAGAATGATCCTGCATGCTTGATTTGGCCCCGGAGCAATCCTGTGCACTAGCCTAACCCTGCATGCCAGATCTGGTCATGCAGTGACCAGAGGTCCTAACAGTCTTGACTTCAGAGTCTTTTGAAATCTTTTTGTGAACACAGAACAGCAGCAGAGTTTCCCAGTGCCTGAAGAAGAATGTTTGTGCCTGAAATCTTGCAAAGAACTTTTTTCCAACTATTTAGTGGATCTAATAAAAGATACCACATCTACCAAAGAACCTTGCCTGTTTGTGAATATTGTATTTAAAGCTTGTTAATATTTATGACTAAAATTTAGAGATGTATGCCTGGAGTTATGACAGCAGAGATATAACTAGCCAAAATAACTGGTTTGCATAATAGAGACATTTATTGTAGAATAATTTACATAAGGAAAAATGCTGACATTTGCCAGATAAAATATTTGCAGTGAATAAAATTAATCTGAGTCTGTATGTAAGTTTTGTGTGTAATGAAGCAGCAAGGTATTTGTATTTTAGGGTTTTCCCCCATTGCTACAGGATCCCACTGTTGACTGTCTGGGAACTCTGCACATTACTCTGCATGAGACTTAATTTTTCAAAACTCATTGGAATGTAGTCTGTCATGGAGCCTTCCTGGTTGTATATATGTATGAGGTCTTGAATTGCCATCTTTCCTTGCTGCTGTGGAGTTTCAAGCTTGATCACTGAAGCTCAGTTGTTCTCATACTTTACCCTTCTGCTGGCCTTTTCTGCAGTGACTCCAGATTGTCAGAAGCCAGGGTAGAGATATGCCTTACAGATTAACTGAATCAGAGATGCATATGCTGATGTACATCATGACTGAGTTATTGCTCACAAAAACTGATGCTTATCTGATTCAATTAGTCTATAAGGTGCATTTCTACCCTGGCTTTTGCCTGACTTAAGATTTGCATTGCTAGCTACCTCTGTCTAGATTCTCAGTGACGGCAAAGGAGTGCAAGTTCTATTCAGTAGCTTAACAAGAGGTGGGCAACTGGGACATCAGCCCTGGGCACCCACTTAGAGCATGTGCAAAAATGGCGGCGGCTACTGCTGCTGTTAGTGCTGCCACTGCCACTGCCGTAGCCAGCCCAGCCTGCCTCCTGTTGCCACTACTGCTATCCATGGCACAGACCCTGGTAGTTGTACCTCTGCTAGAGAAGATGTAGATCTGGCTTTTCTGTTCTTCTTACCTGCTCTGCGACAAACTATATAAATTAGACATAAGTTATAAGTACCGATAGTGGCCAAAAAAGTGGATGTTGGATGTTAAGCCACTTGCTTTTCTACACCCATCAGAACTGGAAGTAGGTATGTGTTCCCTTTACCACAGGAGGACTTCTCTTCACTGGCCAGTTATATTTCTTTTGATGTGCATCATCTTATGTATATCTGATTCAGTTAGTGTATAGGATGTATATCTACCTTGTCTTCTGACAATCTGGAGTTATTGCAGAAAAGTCCAGCAACACGGTAAAGACATAGTTCAGTCCAAAAATGTCTATGCTGCACCAGACAACCTGGGTCACAATTTTTGAATGAGGTTACTCCATCACCAAGGTCAATGTGAGCTTTACCATTACATAAATGGAAGCAGGATTGATTATTGTTAAGGATTTACTCCTATATGGGGCTGAGCGACTAATGGAAAAGAGTCAATGAAAGTGGGAGTTGAAGCTGCCTACATTTTACATAAAATTCTTCCTTCTTTGCAAGACCAGACTTAAGGGGTAGATCCAGTAAGAGACTTAGACATCTAAAGTAAGACTTTGAATGATTTAGGAGCATAGTCCAGGATTACAATTTTAAAACCTCCCAGTTAGTGCCCATCTGAACCTGGATGCTCCTCTTAGTTTCACTGACCACTTTCCAGGCACCTAGGAGTAGGCCCTTGTGCATGTCCAGAACTGTTCCAGACTTGACAGGGCTGATCAACTCAGAACCTAGGTCATGGCTAAGCCTGACTAGGGTCCAGAAGCTAGGTGTTCTGTTGCCTAAGTCCAGTGAGAAGCTTAGTCTCACAGGTGTTGTCAGAGTATGCCTAGCATACTTACATGATTGGACTCCCTAACAAATACAGTGGTGGTTGCCCTTACTTTAAAAGTTGGCAGGAAGAGGAGAAACAACTGGTAATAGTACTACATTTCTCCTTATAGAAGAACAAAATGGCTAGAGTGCTCATTCACCAAGCAAGAAACCTGGATTAAGTTGTTACCTTGGCCTGAAGTGTGTAGATCCCGTATTTCCCACAAGCATGCCTTTGGATGATTACTCTTAATTGGGGCATTCTCCGTACCTCCTGTTGAAGCTGTGCTACTGTACAGCAAATAATTCAAGATTCACTGCATTAGATGGACAGTTTTGTTGTCTCGTGATTAGGATACAATTGGTCTAGGGTAAGAGATCTTGAGTTATGGTCTCTACTCCTTACTGACTTAACCACTGTTGGGTGAATGCTCTCACTACTTGGCCCTTATATAAAAGGTCTCACTACCTCATCTTCCTCTTCTGTTTTAAAGAAAAAAGTAAGTTCCCCTCAGTCCTTGGAATGGTGTCTAGGCACCTATACACACACACACACACACACACACACACACACACACCCACACAGACATATATATCTATAAGAGAGGGTAAAAAGTTATGGATCTCAAGGCTAAGTACAGATAGTCAAAAAGTCTGAGGCTGAATTGATTCAATCTTCACAAGTTAGGGCATAGACACAGAAGAGCAGCTCTCTGCTATAACTCAAAACACTTTGCAGGAAGTGTTCTTAGTTGCAATGATTTCCTGGCTTAAACAGAAGTTCACTGTTGGGTCCAGAGGGATGTGGGGGAGGGGGTTGGAGAACCTAGCTGCTGGCTGCAGCCTGCAGTTGGTTTCCCCTCCTCCCTCCCAACCTGGGCACTGTTTTCAGAATGGGAGGGGGGAAAGGGAGTGGAGGGAGCTCATTCTAGGTGTTCCCCAGCCATAACTGGAGGGTGGAATGTGTGGGGTGAAGTGCTCACTGAAAAAATCCCAGACCAAGCTCCCTCCACTCCCTTTCCCCCTTCCCATTCTGAAAGCAGCTCTGAGGCTGGGAGGCAGGCAGACACCAGTTACTGAAGATGCTATGTTTTGAAATGTCTTCATTTGAACTCATGCAATGAAGGTTCAGATTTTCATGGGATCAGGCCCTTTTCAGCCATACACTTCTGTTTGGTCATGGCTGTAGAACGCTTTCAGGATCTAGATCAGGCAAAAACTGTCACTTCTGTCTGTGCCCTTAGTCTAAGCTGCATAGATTGAACTAATAAGCAAGTAAACAGACATTCACTTTTGATTCTGGAAATGCAGCTACATACTTGCAGTGGCCCAGGCCAGAAGCTGGGGGGCACTAGAGCATGTCTCCCTGTTCAGCTGGAGCAGCCAGCTTGAGCCAAGTCTATCCTGCCCACTCTGCAACGGAGGGGCGGTTTGCAGGAGAGGTGCAAAGCATCCTGGGATGCTGGGAGACTGTGAGTTAACTTGTATCTGGAGGGGATCTGGGACAGAGGTTTAATAAATTGATTTTACCTAAATCAGTTAAGTCTGATATCACATCCATCCAGATTTATGTTAAACCAGTTTTGGCCACTCAGAAACCACCAGTGTTAGTGGTTTATGTGCACTGAACTTCAGATTCGAACCGATTTCCAATCACCTATACTGGTTTATGTGTATTTTCTGTCTGTAGCCCAGGTGAACCAACATGTTCCTGTAGCCATTTGTAAGATGCCAGGAGAGGCTAATTCACCCAAGTCCTCAGCCTTTTCCTAGTGGTCAGATAGCTCAATGGGTGACTGGTGCTGCCTTAGTCGGGGGGGGGGCAGGGGCATGTCCCCCCATGGCCAATCTCACTAACGGTGGAGGGGTCCCCCCACGGCCAATCGCAAGACAGCCGATTGCTGTGGCCAGTAGCTACAGCCGCTTTGGGAGTGCTACGGCACTCCACTCCCTGGCCAGTGCTTGCAGGGGGGGCACCAGTGCTCCTGCCTGCCCCCGCCATCTGTCACCTAAGCGGCAAGCGCGGCCAGTCAGGAGGTGCATCGGCACTCTTAAGGGTGCATGTGCACTCCCGTGCACCCCCTATGCATTGCCACTGGCTAACTCTACGTAGCTGTGCACTGGCTGTATTAATATTAGCCAGTTCCCTGCTCAGTATTCAGGCTCCATTCTCAGGCATGTAGCTCCCCTTTTTTTTACTGTAAATGGAGGTATCAAAGCAGACTTCTGGATTCCTCTCCAGGGGCCCAAAAGTTAGATGCTGCAGTACCTCACTTTTAGGCACCGGTGTCCTTTATTTGGCCCTAAATTTGTGTAGTTGAGAAAAATAAACAACATGTGCAAAAGCTCTCATTTGGGCTGCCTCCCAACTGCTTTCATCATGTTCATTAATACATAATAATAAAAGGATTCAAGTGAGTGCATATTTCCCTTCATGGTTTGCTGCATACTTATGTTAACGCTGCATAGCACAAATGAATTAGTCACATCAACAGCTGAAGTCTCTTGGCTCAGTCACTGGGTAATATTCCATTGATATTTAGAAATTATCCTTGCTAGTTATTTTCAGCATGTAGCGTTGGGATTGGGATCATGCAGTATTTGATATGTTGCTGACCTGAACAGCTGTCTTTTTTCTTTAGAAAACATCTAATTTCCCATGTATTGTTGGCTTTTCTAGATACATCGGGGAGTGAAGGGATTTGTTAGAGATCTTCAGGGTAATCCAATTGCAAATGCTACAATTTCTGTGGAGGGAATAAATCATGACATTACATCAGGTAAGCGACACACTTGAGATGATTAAGAAATAAACAACAACAAAGGGTACTAGAAAATATCATTATACCTCTCCACCTTGCAATCTGGTGTCAGATCATCTTGGGTCTTATTACATATTGTTAACTAAGCATGCTACCTCAAGCTGCTAGATGGAAGACGACATGAGGTTTGGAAGGAAATTTCCCTCTGGCATGGTATTCCATATTTGCCATCAGCCATCCTTTCCTTTTGAAGCAGCTGATTCTGGCCACTGTTGGAGGCAAGGCTACACTAGACAGATCACTGGTCCAATCCAGTCTTACACTCCTCATCAAGGCACTGTTATGAAGCTGTGTTGGGTAACTCAGTAGATGGCACTCTTCCTTCTGAGTCCCTCGGCACATCTACAGTGTTACTGAGCAGTCATTTAGTACTTGCTGTAGTCCTGGCAGTGCATGGGTCATTTCTGACCCTACTGTGCAGGGTTGGCTTGTTGCTACTGTGCAGTAGCATGGGCATCACAGTTCATGCCTGCCAACACTATGTCACCATATAGTACTGAAGCACATAGCATCTTGTATAGAAACACCCTCTGTGTAGCTAACGTATGCAGAGTTCTGTTATGAAGCAGTGTCCTTCCACTGGCACTATCTTGAGGATGAAATCTAAAATGGAGTTTTTAGTCCCTTGTGATCATTAAAGAACCCAGTGGGCTTTTGGCTGGAGGAGGAGTATTAACATTGCATACTCTTGGGCACATTCTAATTTAGGTAATGATATTCTGCCTAGATAAGTCTCCCTGATGTTTTGGTATTCTTTCCCTCATTTGTTTATAAAGATTGTCTAGCACTGGTATCTTTCTACCATTGCTGTATCTCACCCTTGAGGTAAATTTCTAGTTGATGCCATGTAAAGTGTTCCCTATATATTAACAGTTTTTAATTTAAAATGACATTCTTATGCAAAGTGCAAATTAAATTAATAATAATTAATGTCCCACACAGCCATGGTTATCTTATATGGAGCCCATTTCCCTGGCAATGTGTTATTTTTCCATCATTGTTTAAGATTTGCCAATATGTTCAGCTGGTTTTCCTTCCTTGCTATGCTCATGCTATAACAAAGTGGGTAGGATTACTACCAACCAGAAAAGTGGGCAGTATCTCAAGCAGTAGCTTCCTCCTTTATATAAGAATGGAAAAAGGTATGAAAGATAGAGGACAGGAAGACAGGTGCCAAGGATCAAGAGGAGGAGAGAAGTGCTGAGGGAGAGAGGATTGTCCTATATTTTAAGATCAATATCTATCATCTTCTGAGCTACAATGGTGACAGATCCAGGTATGATATTATCTGGCATACTTCTATGGGGATAAGGACATCTAAGCCATTCACATATATCCTTATTGCTGTGCATGTGCAAGACTGTAACAGTAATACAACGCTAAAAAATTGAAAAAACAAGCAGTTAAAATCAGGACATTAAAAAATATAGGGTGAATATTCAGCATCAGTTCTGCTCCTTTCTGTATGCCTTAAAATTCAGTCCCGTTGTAGTGCCAGGTACTATAATTGACTATCATTATAATTTTGCACAGAATATCTTTGTCATATTTCAAATAAGAAAAATATGGGAGCAATTAGTTTGATGCCTCTTGAAGCCAGTAATCCTTTAAGTGAGGATTTCTGAACTGGACTTTGACCAACTCCAACTACACTGACATTTTCTAAGAATATTTTTCTGAGCAATTAAATAATACTTCCCTCTGTGCACAACAGTTTTTTAAAAGTTCCTATATAGTTGCAAAAGGGATGAACAAGGAATGAGGGAAATAGTGGTGTAAGCAATGTTAGTAGCCTTAAGTGGCATCAATGAGTAACCTTCATTGTGGCAGAGTATTGTCATAAGTTTTGCTTGTCAGATAGGTATGAAGAATTCTCTAAGAAATGCAATGTAATAACATTAAATGCTGAGGAAATATGACATTATTGTATTCACTGGGCCTTATTTTTTATTCACTTATATAAAGGAGCTGTAATGAAGAGGAGGATGCGTGTCATTGGGATCATGGTTTTTTTTAATGGTTCACTGTGAAGGAGAAAAGGTTCCATTACAGTAACCTAGCCCCTGTCTCTGTTTATTGGTCAGTGTGTTGAAACAATACTTCTCTCTCCTCTCTAGAATATACTAATCTATATGAATGGGGATTTATTTCCATAACTCAGGCTGATGCTGATGGGAATTACCTGTGCAAACCTTATATACCAAACAGATTTTCTAAACCTAAAGATGATAATAATGACATGGAAAGGAGTCCCCATTCTGTATTTGAATACAAGTTATTAATAGAATCATAGAAATTAAGGACTAGAAGGGACTTCAAAAAATCATTGAGTCCAACCCCCCTGCTCTAATAATGAAAGGCTGGTTTATATTTATCACAATAAATGGAAAATATTTCTCTCTTGTGAATAAATTTGAAACCATATTTAAAGTCTGAGCCAATATTTACTGAGGTCATTAAAACTTTTCTTTTAGCTTCAAATGACATTGGTTCAACCCTTGATGAATTCCTTTAGTTAAATAAAAAAAATCCACAAGCTGTTGCATAATTAGGTATTGAAATCTACTTTGTTATTTCTGGGATTATATTTTTCAAATATATTATGTAGCCAATGTGTTGCTGACTCCTTTAATTATCACCTCTATAATATCTTCAGAGGAGAAAATCCAGTATATTTGCACTTGAACCCCAAATTTGAGAAAGTTCGGGGAAATCGAAATCCATACTGGACATCAAACTGAAGGCTGATTTAAAGGAGCTGCACTATGGATAACAGTATACTTTTTAAACTTGAACGGTCTTAAACATTGTCTTTTTTCCACTGTACTTTCAACCCTCTAACACAAGAGAGGGTTGCATTTTTACATAAAAGAGCTTCTTCAAACTCTTTGAAGAAAGGTTCAGTACAACTTAAGAGTACAAACTTACTGGAGATAGGCAAGCCAATATTATACTCTCTATTTATCTAATGTTTCTCTGGAATATTTTCAGATCCACAGAAATACACTTCAAACAAACAAATGAAAGGATCAATAGGTATACAAAATTGATATATACATGGTAACTTTTTTTAGCTTGTGAGAATTAATTTTATGTGTTTTTTTCTTTTTCTTTCTCTTTAGCCAAAGATGGGGATTACTGGAGATTGCTTGTGCCTGGAAACTACAAACTCACAGCCTCAGCACCAGGCTATCTAGCAATAACTAAAAAAGTGGCTGTTCCCTTTAGCCCTGCCATTGGGGTAAGCATTCATTTATTGGTTGGTTTGTCTTATTTATAACATATACTCCTTTATTCTTTCTTCAGACTCTATGGACATCTACCAAAGAGTAGCAAAGCTGCTCTGACACACTGTAATTACTGAAAAGGCTAGGACTCTTTAATTTGGAAAGGAGAAAGCTGAGGGGAGATATGATGGAAGTCTATGAAATCATAAAGGGTATGGAACAACTGAATGGTGAACTATTGTTCACCAAATCTAGGAACTAAGGGGCACCCACTAAAATTAGGTTATGGGCTTAAAACTAACAGGAGAAAGAATTTTTTTATGCATTGTGTAGTTAACTTGTGGAATTCATTACCACAGGAGTGGGGGGAGGCAGATAGCATAGCCAGGTTTCAAAAAGGACTGGATAAATACATGGACGATAGCCCTGTCAATGGCTACTGAACAGAGTGGTTGGAACTGTTTCCTCTGCCATCTTTAACCCAATAAATGGTGGATGCCAGGGAGGGTATTGAACAGAGGTTAGATCATGCTAGATGCTCTTCCTTGGTGTGCATTTACATGTGTGCTTTACTGCAGAGTTGACTAATTAGCTCCTTAGTAAAGCATCACAGTCTACACGTGTGCTGGTATTAGGGCACAGACAACTAATTAACTCAACCATAGGATAGTACTATCTCTGAAAGTACTGTCCTTTGACAAAGTAATAAACTGCGCTGAAATGCACATCTAGAGAATGACTGGGTGGGGGCCAGACTCCTGGCTGCCGCCTAGCCACATAGCTCTGCATGTTCAGCACTCTTGTGCCCCAGCCAGCCCTGTTGCTGCCACTCGAAGCCAGGAGCTGACTCCCTGAGGGTACTGTCAGCCCAGGCCAGCTCTGCCCTGGCTCAAAGTGCTGCTGTCCTGGGTGCACATGTAGATGCTATGTTCAGGAGCAGTTTACTCCAGCTCAAAGTGCTCTGGAGTTTATCATGTCACATTAAGTGCATGCGTAGATGCAGCCCCTGTATAATATCATCCACTTTTGTCACTGTCACCAGAATACTGGCTAGATGGACCAGTGGTTTGGCCCAGTATGACACTTCTTATGTTCTTATTGGCCACATCTACATGTGACATTACATTGCTGTAGCAATGCACTACAGTGATGTAACGTCTGCGGGTGTCTACACATGACCAGCAGCTACTTTGCTGTAGTGACATGCTCCCTGGTATAGCATGCCACTACAGCGAAGTAGCTGCTAAAAATAATTGTGCCCTGTGCAAAAGGAAGTACTAAATCATGATGCAGTAACAACATTGCCATAGGGACATAGGAAGACATGTCCATAGTCTTCTAATCTAAATTAGACATTAAATATTCAGTTAGAGTGTAGATTTACCTATAACTTTATGAAGAAGGCCAGGACTAGAACTCTAGTAGCGCTCCATATAGGACGTAGATGGTATTTCAGTGCATCAGAGCATCAGTCTTCTTTTGACCTTCTGCACCCTTAAAAGGAAGAATAATACAAATTCATCCCTGGCATAAATCCATTTAGACTTATTCCCCACTTCAGAATTATTTCTGGATGATTAAAACAGCAGTGAGTTTACTGCTGATACATTTACTAGGTTGTCCTATAAAACATAATATCTAAAATCAGTTGTCTTATGTCAGAAAACTCAGTGAACCACACTGGTGGTAAAATGTAGCACACATTTTGCTTTGCCATGCAGTGAACCATAGTCAAAATGTTGATCTAGTGGTTTTATTCTATGCATAGGTGAGTAGTTGAGACAGTCACAATGGTAATACATTTCCTTACCTACTGCTGAATTTCCAGCTACCTAGGGCCAGATTTTGAAATATATTTGGATTAGTACTCAAACACCTATCTATCTTATTCCCAATGACACTTTTGAAAATTCCATTAGATACTTAACTGCAATGTTGGGTGTCATAATTCTGTTTAAAAATATGACTCCTAATTCTTGAGGGTCTTTGCAAAGCTCAGACAAATATGAGAATACATCCTCTATTATTTCTTTTTCTTTTTGCTCTTAATGGATGCAGTTCCCCTGCTGAGAATATCCTCTCAGATCCAAGTAATTACTTAATAATGCCTTTCAGGAAGTTTGAGAGTCCCTTTCCTGGTGTGCATTCACAGATGTATATATTTTTAAAAAAAATCACTCATTCATTGTTTCTCTCACCTAGGTTGATTTTGAATTGGAATCATTGTCTGAGAGAAAAGAAGAAGAAAAGGAAGAGTTGATGGAGTGGTGGAAGATGATGTCAGAAACCTTAAATTTTTAAGTGAAGCTTTGAAATTACACCTTTTAATCTATGACATGTTGACTTAGTATACTGTACTGTGGACAGTCCCTATACTTTAGATTTTGTGCAATTCACAGTATTTAGAGGTTTTTTCAGCAATCTTTGGATTAGTAACCTGATTTTAAAAAAGCTACTAGTTAGACAAATAAGTTATTAAATTTCTTTCATATTATTATAGAACATTCATTTTCCTACATATATGATGCAGAAAAACAGAGGGAGCACCTCAGCAGCCTAAATGGAAATAAAATTTTCTGTTTGTCATTTACAAATTCAGAGTGTGTAGGTTAACTCTTGATTATAAAAAAATGTATATTTTAAGTTCCAAATATCACAAAAAATATTTGGTAGTACTTATAAGGAAATGACCATTCTGTATTGAATTAGCTAATGAATGTAATTGAAAAGGGATATAATAACAGTTTAGTGTTGTAAGTAATGTTTGACAAGAAGTAAAATAGAATATAAAATGTTGTATGTGTCTGCTGTTGGAGCTATTTAAGTGTATAAAAAAATACGTATATGGTTTTATGTTAGTAAGTGGAAAAAACTTGTTTAAGAGGATCTAAGATTAATCGCTGGGAGTGATACAAGTTTATTCCTTCATCTGTTAATGATCCTTCAGCACAGAATTTGGGATGTTTTGGACACTTATTAACCAAATTAAAAATTATGAATGGACAAAGAAGAACTGTTGAAACATGTGCATTTTGTTAACATGCTTCTTGTGTTTGCAGTGTGTTTCAGTGAGAAAAATGTTCAGTGTTTCAAGTGATGTGTGTGATGACTAGGTGCCTACTTATGGAAGAATGTCTAAAGATTTCATTGTGAAGAGGATAAGCAGCAACAATCTCAAACACTCATTGAAAGATAGTTGAACTTTCAGCTGGAAATGGGTTGGAAATATACTGAGAATGTAAACACACTCTAATTATACACTCTCTCCAGGAAGGAATTAATTGTCTTTTAAACTCTTGTTTCTTCTACTGTTGTTTTAACCTGAAACTTGGAGTAACAGAGGTAAGTAATTGACATATACTAAAATTTTCCAAGCTAAAATATATAATATGCATATACATATGCATATATATAGTTTCTTTTTTGAAAATTTAGTTGTTCAGTTTTTTAAACTAAAGCGTTTTGTTTGATTATTTAGACCTGGAAAAGTGAAATGCCAGAAATGACAATATCCATATAGACTACCTTAACCGTAGATGATATAATTTTGACATAGATGCACAGAAATCAAGGGAGCTATGCTAGTTTAGTTTATACCAGTTGAGGACCTGTCTGAAAATGTAGACTTTTTTGCTGTGTCAATTGGTTCATGAACAGGTGTTTGAGATCTTTTTCTATAAGCAACAGTATGTAAGAACTAAAATATTTTATATCTTTTCTCAAAGATTTCTCTAGTGTTATTGGCCTACATCAGGGTATCAAATGGATGAATGGCATGAGGCTGGTCCACAGGTCCTGGACCACCTAGAGCAGGCACCGTGTTCAGTATGCATCCAAGAGTAATCCAGCCAGGGTGGCCACTGCAGCCAGGCCATGGACTGGCCCCATGCCATGGGCACATGCTGTGCCCTGTGTTAGTTTGATTGGAGTCAAGGGCAGCACTGGTGGCCAGATGATGAAGCTCTGCAGGCCAGATCCAGCCCTCAGGCCTATATTCAGTCAACAGAAGGTCGTTGGAACTCAGCAACTCCAGATCAGGCCATCATTGCCTAATTTTGTACATAATTAAGTCAATTCAAAAACATCTGCTTTGGAAGATTGAAATTAACAAATCCTATCCTTGGACTTTTGCAGTTCTGAAAACAAATGTGGCCTCTGACCTTCTAAAATGCCCAAGGGACTGAAGTGAGAAGTAATAAAAATGAATAGTCCTGAATAAAAATTTACTCCATAACATGCAGATCAATGTTGCAGTTGATATTGTATTCCAAATGCTAAGGGAACACTTCTGGATATAAGTTGCAATGATTTGTTAAATGCTGGTATGTTTAGTACCTATTTCATAGTTAGGGGTCTACTCAACTTGAGACAGCAGCCGGCCGATTTTGCAGGGCTGTCCACTATTTTCGAGGGCTTATTGTGGCTGGCCCCCCCATACCTCTGATTGGTGGAGGGGCCCCAGTGGCCCTGCCCCCTGCTGCTGATTGGTGGAGAGGGCTGTCCATCATATCACTGTGCTCCTCACCGCTGATTGGCTGAGATGGCCTCTGTCATGAGAACCTGCCCCTTGCCACCGATTGGTGGAGAGGAGGTAGGGCTGCATGGCAAGCAGCCCTCTCAGCCAATCAGTGGCTAGGGGCAGAAGCAGCAGCCATCTTGCCTGCTTGCCTTCATGCTGGCAGCCCCTTTCATGTCAGTCTGTGTGGCTGGGAGGATTGCTGGCTGTCAGTAGGGAGCCATCATTTTATTTTTAGTAAGGTTCCTTCACTCCCCCCAGAGATTTTGTGGAGATCTCTTAACTTCCATGAAATCTATGCAATCTGGATTTGGGTAGGTCTCTAATCATAGTTAGGATCATATTTAGGATGCAAATGTAAAGAATCACATCTATCATCGGCATTTTGGTGATAAAATATAACTCCTCTTCCCCCCACAAATGTGTGCAAGTATATAAGGTATGCATAAATGCACAGCTATACCTACTATATAGTAATTTAAAATTTAGGAGATGTTAAATTCAAGCCCAACTTTTATGTATACTTATATTTATGGAAATCCTGATCCTGTGTTCAAATGAGCTGGGCAAAGTCAAAACAAATAGTTTGCAAAATAAGTTAAGCAAAAGACTGCTCATACTTGGCAAATAGGTGCAGAATTGTTTTCAGACTTAAGCTATTGTAATAAGGCAAGTGTACAGAAAACAAAACCCCATAAACTTTAGGCCAGAATATAATACAATTATAGGGCGCAATGCCTGTCATGCATCCAGTCTTCCTGTGTGGTGGATTCTGTGGCATAGTTATTGCAGACATTATATCAAACTGAACCTCATAATGGATTTCTGATCCTTGCTTGTATTTCTTGAATGTCATAATCAGGTCTATTGTTTCATGCATTTGTAATGAAATGTAATTTCCCATAAGCAATTGTCTTGTTTTCCTTTAGATGTCTGCTTGCTATTGTAGTATTAAAGCAGGTTTATGTCATTAAATATTACAACACCAGAACCACTGCCACAGTTCTTACTGTAAGTAAAATTGCTTAAGAACAGCATAACCAGAACTCTCAATAACTAGTTCATTATGTAGCTTTTCTGGTTAAAGAGTTGTGCTGTAGGTCTGTGTATGTTGCAATGGAAGATTAAAATGTTGTGTGATGCAGAGTTCTTTTGTTAAAAAGGCACATGTTGTACTATTGTACAATAAATATACAGGTCTATTTAACAAGTAAGATGTGTGAATATTTTACAGTGCAAAGTGTTATTTTTTGGCAATATAAGTGAAATATGCTATATACATCTATAGTGAGGAGCCAATGAATCAATTATTTTAACACGCACAAACCAGTGGGGGATTACAGCATGTGTCCCACAGGAAGCAATCTCCCAAATTCATAGCTCTGGACATTGTGCCAGAACAGAATCCTTTATGCATTGCACAGTGTCTTACATTTTTTCCCACACAACCTCTTTAGCCCCATGGGTAGGAGCGAGATGCTCTGGACCTATACAGTGTTGTCCTGCGAGGGTGTATATGTATGAGTCTCTTCCCTAATACTTCCACTCTTGTTCCTTCCATACATGTTCCCAGGATTGGTTGTCTGTTTATGCAGCTGGGTGGTACTACCACACCCGTCGTAACTGCAGGCTCAGGGGTCAGGGCTTTCCCTTTAGTACTAGTGATGAAGTAAATACAATAAATTCAATAGAAACATCATCTTTGTGTAATATTTTCCCCCTTACATAGACACTGTCCTAGCAGCTGTTTATGAACTGGAGCACAGCACTGACCATTCCAGACCTTTTCGGAGCTGACAAGTAAGATGAATGGAAAATTAAACAAAACCCACAATATTTCTCTCAAGAACTGTGACTCATGTGGGACAAGCTGCCAGGTCTCTCCCCGCTCCCCACAAAATCTTTTAGTGGGTCTAATAGGTGTTGAATTCTCATATTTAATATAAATGCCCATGACCAGAAAGATATTGTTGAAGTAGAAAGGACACAGAAAAGAGGGATATAAGAGTTTAAGGGTCTGCAGAAATGACATTTAAGGCCAGATTAAAAGGTCTAGAAACTCTGAGCCTGATTGTCTTTGGCACCTGAGCTTGCACCACCAAGAATAGCTTTCTGGTTATTGCCTAGTGCAGTGAGATTTAGAGAGGCAGCTCTCTGGCCCCACCAACCCAGACACCTTAGAAGATCCCACCCTGACAAATACTATGGTTAACTTAATATTTATTATTAAATACTATTGATTAAAATAGTTCATAATTTGGTCGCAAATTCAGTATTAATATCAACTGCAGTAAACAAAGAAGACACAAAACTATTTCCCCCCTCTTTC